GGGGCCCAGTTATTCTGCTGCTTGAAAAACAAAATGGCACATTCTCACCCACGGTTCCTGTCCTCACTATTCTTTCTAGTGAGGTGGTCCACTTAAAGAATTTCTAAAACTCTTCTAGTCCTCTTTTTCCTACATTGTAACAATATATCATGTATCTCAGTCTCCAACTTAGACAAGTGGATCTGGGAGAGGACTGCTGAACATTTATCTGCAATGCCTACCGGCGAATTCTTAGTGTCAGCTGTCAATTATTTCTTATCTTCAAAGGGTGACATTCTGACAAGACAATCGCTGCCCCAACAATTTTATTAATATAAGTCTTGGTTCTGCCTCCTGGCATCATTTTGAGATGGCACTATGGGTCATCCATCTTGTACCTCCATGGAGACGTATTTCCCAGTTCGTAGGTAAGAGTTTTAGGACTTAAGCTTAAAGATGCTGAGTTCATTAGGTCCGTCCGACTTGAAGTGAAAGGGCTAGATGGAAATGTTCTGTTGTAATATGTTTGATATTTTTTTTAAATGCCATTAAAACCTCACCAATTCAGTCTCCACTAATTTAGAATTTATCCTTTGGAGTTTGGGGGAAAAGTATTTTTAAAAACAGCTTTACTAAGTGCAGTAAGAATATTAACAATATTTAAACAACAATATTAAATAAATCTGGAAAAGCATAATTTCTAATTACTTTTAAGGCCCTTATTTCAATATGTTCACGTTAGATACATTAGATAATTAGTATATTAATTGCACATTATTTGTTACTTAAGAAAAAGATAAGACTGCAATGTCAAATTTACTTGTTAGTGTACCTTGTTTAATTCTTTGTGTTTGAAAGCATTCAAGCCTTTTTGAGAAAACACTCTGGACTGATTCCATAATTCTTCTTCTAAAATTCAAATTGCTAAGGTTTTACAGTATGAAAATCTGTTGAAAATACTCATTCCTTATGCCTTTCTGAGAGATGGAGTTTAGCGGCACTTGATTCCCAGAAGTGTCATAGGGATAACTGTTTGGGCTGACAGGGAGGAGATCTGTATCTGAAGTGAAGAGGGCAGGACAGGCAGGACAGGAATGGAACATAACGCTGCCCAGCTCTGCAAATATTAGGAACGTGAACCACTGGATAGGCTTTGCTATTGCCCTGGTGAAGGCTCGTACTAGATAACATCTTTAACTGGAAGAGAAAATAAGATACTATTTATAGATATATTGTCAAGGGCAATCTTTTATGTAAGATTTTATTTTGATTAAAATCTTTGGAAAAGATGATGTATTTGACACCTTACACATTTTATCAGAGACCTGTCATAAGCAATCTGGAATTAAGATAGAGAATGTCTCCCTAAGCAAACAAATAATCTTCTTTTAAGTTGCCAACTGTTCCCCTAGGCTACAGGCACACTAGACTTTGTCACTTTTGGAAAATGTCACACAGCCAAAGAACTAAGTGGGACTTTGGAGACTACACTAGCTTACTCCAAGAGTTACGGAAAAGATTAAATAATTATCCAGAGGTCTTGCAATCTTGACAACAGGGTCTGGGTCTCTTGAATTCTAGTTAATTCTCTCTTCTTTTTGTCATGGTTGCCCACTGTTTACATTTCTTTCATAACCAATAACATGTATTGCATGAATAAACATCAGTAAACACATATTGGGGGGTCTGCTCTTTGCCAAGCACTGTGCTAAGCACTGTACCATACTTCCTGTCACAGTCTGGTGCACAAGAGAGAGAAAGAAACAGATTGGAAGGGATGTGATGAATGATATGACAAAGATAAGCACAGAATGATGAGGGTGCCCATAGGAGGAACAGCTCATGTAGACCTTAACTTACAATATGGGGTAATATGGAGGGCTTCCTAGGGCAAGGAGTTGCCTCAGGTGGGACATTAAGGTCACATAGGCATTAGGAGCAAGGAGAGGAATCTTCCCTGCAGAGAAAACATCCACAGCAGATGTATGGAGGACATGAAGGGGGTTGTAAGAAGGGGCAGAGTGAAATGAGCCTGGGAGACAGGGAGGGGCCAGGTCATAAAGGCACTCATGTAGGATGGAGAAGACTTGACTTGCCCCCAGACATATCAGGTAGCCATTGAATGAAATATTTTAAGTTGTTCAAATCAAATTTCTCTATGGCAGTAATAAATATAAACTGTTGAAGTGATTAAATATTTACTTAATGGATGAATGAATGGATGAATGAATGAACACAGTTATGTTTTCAGTCATATCCAGGCAATAAGCACTGTAGGTGGTATAATGTCTACACATGAAGGATGGCGATAAGTCATTCAATAACAGTGAAAGGTGACTGTTCTGAGCAATAACCCGGCCTTTGTAAGCATTATTTTTTGTTTACAGAATAATGTAACTTATTTCTTATATTCATATTGCATGTCATTTTCTGTGATAGTTTCACAGATATCTGGTGGGCTTCTTGGCACTTATGTCCAGGATTCAGTCATTGCAAGGCAGTAGTTGCAAACTGTTCTAGCAAGAGTGTGCTAGAAGAAATAAGTAGGCAAACTAGACATCACATGCTGAGTGCCACCTGCTCCAGGAAGGACAGCACAGAGTTCCATCTTCAGGGAGCTTACAACTTACAGGGCAGGGTGTGAGGATGTGGTGTGCACACAAGTAACCACACACAGGTGTTCAGAATGCCAGATAGAGTTGAGTAAGTATCAGTGAGCACAAATCCCATGCTGTGAGACTTCCAAGGAAGAAGTGATCACAGCCGATTTAAAGGATGCTAGTAATAAAAAAGAATGCACATATCCTTTTTGTGGTTGCTTACAAATAATAGAATATGATAAGCATTTGGCTATAGTTTTTAAGTTGAGGAATATACATGGCATATAAGAAATGGAGTCATGAAAGTTCAGTTAGCTAAAAGAGAGCTAAACATACAGGCTTCTTCAGTGCATAGCTGAGATGTTGTTCATGGCATCCCTACAGTTCACAAAATGACCTGCTCTACAAAGTGGTTCCAGGGGTTTTGTATCAATGAAAGGACTGTGGAAAGGCCATTGGAGTTGAACAGTGAAGAACCACAGTTCTCTTTTAAAAATTGTATAGCCAGTTTGCTAATATGAGGAGTCATGAGCATTATTTCCTATTGGATTCCACTCTACAGGAGATTTAGCAAAATGTCAAGTTCTTCATTATAAGATGATTTTACTGTAAACCGAAACAGCAACAGATAAAGATTTAAATAATTATCATAAAAATATAGCTTTGAAGGAATCAACAACATCAAACAGATTAATATTCTCTAATCTTTCATATATACAATTATAGCTACAATGTATCAGTTGCTTCCATAGTGCCAAGTACTCTGCATATGACGCACTTCAAAATATAGTATTTTTTTTTTAATTTTTAATGTTTATTTTTGAGAGAGAGAGACAGAGCACAAGGTGGGGAGGGGCAGAGAGAGAGGGAGACACAAAATCTGAAGCAGGCTCCCGACTTTGAGCTGTCAGCACGGAGCTCCGCACGGGGCTCCAACCCACAAAACTGTGAGATCGTGACCTGAGCCGAAGTAGAACGCATAACCGACTGAGCCACCCAGGCACCCCTAAGATACAGTATTTAATTTAATCTTCGTGACAACCTAGCAGATAGATATTATTTCTATTTTGCAAAAGAAAACCTGAGGCTGAAATAAAAGTAATGTGGCAGAACTTTGAGCCAAGCTAGCATTTGAACCTGTGTGTGCCTGATTCTTTCCCATTGTGTGTGCGTGTGTGTCTGTCTGGAAAGAGATTTGTTCCATATAAGACATTTATTGTCTACTGGAGGAGTAAAATATTCTACATGAATCTAAGTTTATGTATTTGATATTTTGGAAAGGCGGGACTTTTTTCCATGTAAGAAGTAAACCAAGTTTTATTTCAACCCTGACAGTGATAAAGAGTTAGCTCTATATCCAGCTGCTTGAGTGGGCCTATTATTGTCACAAAATACATGCTCCTATTATGTAAAATCCATTACAAAGAATGTAGAAGTTACTCATGCAAGCACGTATAAATTTATTTTCCCACCAGCAGAATTCTCTACAATTTATCATTTTAATCTGTACTGTTGTGACCTAAATTTTTTCAAGGGGCCTTCACCCACATTAAGAGAATTTGAACTGATTAAGGATGTTTTAAGAAAACTCCTTAATTTGTACCTATTTCATGTTTATTTTAATTAGCAGTCCTTGTTGAAAAATTCATATTATCACAGGCTCAGTCGGTTAAGTGTCCAACTTTTGATTTTGGCTCAGGTCATGATCTCCCAGTTCATGGATTTGAGCCCCTCACTGTCAGCATGGAGCCTGCTTGGGATTCTCTCTCTCTCTCTCTCTCTCTCTCTCTCTTTCTTTCAAAAATAAATAAACTTAAAACAATTGAGAAAAATTCATATGAATTAAGATCCTGATTAGCCCTGACCTAAGTAGTACCCCTAATTACCTAGGATGTATCCTTGCATTTTGTCTTTCAGAGACAATAAGTTGATATGACAGATTAATTTGAAGTGCCGGATTCAGGATTTGTCCAGATTTGGAAGTGAGTTGGTGCAGTTCCCTAAGCCTGTAGCTTTGCTGAGTCCCGAGGCCTGGCTTCCTCTCCATAGGAGCGTCCTCAGCCCTGTGTGTGGGGTAGGGAAGGGAAGCCTAAGGGAGCCGCTGTTGGTTTTCGTAACAGCTGCCATTCACTCAGCATTTCTCCTGCTAAGCATTTTACATGCATTGTGTCATTTAATTGTAATAACTTTATGAGGCACTAAATTAACCCAGTTTGTCATATCAGGAAAATAAAGTTGAGTGAAGTCACGTAGTTATTCAGGGGCACAGCCAAAATTCAAACGAACACCTATCTGTCTGAATTCGAACATTTAAGCATATTGCATGGAAGAGTCTTCCAGCCATGGTGGCCATCCAAAACTGGGTGGCTGCCTCAAGACCTGAAAGTAGTTTTGGTTGAAACATTTTGTCTTAATTGGTAGTGTTTAGATTATATCCAGGAACTAGGAAGCATTAAAGATTTCTATAGAAAAGATGGCATCGTCACAGTTTCAGAGGTGGAGACTGGGGTGGTGGTAAGCAGCAGGTGAGTGTATGGGGGGGCAGGAGTAGTGAGACCATCAGCAGCAGGCAGAGCAGGTGTTGAGGAGAGGTGTGGGGGGACCTCAGTGAGGAGGGCAGCCGCATGATGAACTTGGTTCGAAGGTCCCCCAGGAATTGGTGAGTAACTATAAAGGCAGGTCATAAAGGAAAGAAGAAATCTTAGCACTAGTGTTTTCAACTTGGCTGTGAAAAAGGTGCCTTTGGCAGAGACTTTGGGAAAGACATGTGCCTCCGAGGACAGTGGTGATATTTGATTGAAATGTGTATGTCCAAAGGTGGTTGGCATTGTGAAACAAACTGAGACCAGTCAGGGCTGAGAAGAGCAAGAAAATGGTTCCCTGGCCTCTTGACCTACAGCTCCCCCACCCCCACTCCCGCTCTACTGGTTCACTGTGTAACCATAGGCAGACAGGTGACTGTTCAGCCTCACTTTTAAATGTGCAAAAGCTGAAATAAAGATAGAAAAGAAAGCCGCCTTACATATAAGAAATACTGAGATTCTTTGATGGGCTTAAATTTTAATTCACTGAAGAAAAAAAGTTTCATATACTTGGATCTTTGTGGAACAAGATATGGTATAAGTGATTTAAATAAGTAAGAAGTACAGTTTTTATATTTAAGTCCATCTCAAATAGTTCTTTGAATTTTTTTTTCATTATTAAGAGCTGAAAAAGGAAAGATCATTTCCTTAGGCTTTCAACCAGAGTGTTCCATTCACCAGAATGGCCCCATTGCATGATGTCTTACAATTAACTATCTTTTAATATAGGTATCAAACTCCTCCAGTAAAATTATATCTTCATTAAATTCCATTCAAATATCTTAATGTGATCAATTCTTTCAGGCGTGGCCATCATTTCCATGGAGGTAGAAGTTAATGCTTACCTACGTTAACTACTCTGTTCTGTTCTGTCCTAAAAACAGGATAATAGACTCTTGGGCCTTTCCATGGAGTCAGTGCTCTATTTGCTCAGGCTCTGATAGGGCAGGAGCCAGACATACTTCTGTTAGTCTATAGCAATCAAATAATGAGAAGATTTCCTCTGCAGTGTAATTGGGATTTTTAGTTAATAATGATATTTGTTGGGCATTTTGTGCCAACTTTACATTCACTATCTCACTTGTGATCCTACGATGTAGTCACAAGTATAATACCTATCTAAGAGGTTTAGAAAAGGTAAGTTACTTGCCCAAAATCCTATAGCTAATAAATGGTAGATTTGAGACTCCAATCCATGTGGGTTTGAATATGAATGTGTGTGTGTGTGTGTGTGTGTGTGTGTGTGTGCGCGCGCCTGTTATAGGGACGTGACTTTAAGGGGATGGACAGTCTGGGTAAGGCCATTGTCTTTGCACCCCACCCTGGAGCTCTGAGTTCACTGGGCAGGTGCTGGGGAAGGAGATGAAAATGAAGTGGGAGAGAGCAAGGACAAGCTGGAAATCACAAGCTTCATACTAGAACCCTTTTCATTCCTCCGTTCTTGATGATATCCTACAGAAACCAGGACCCTTCCATTAAAGAACTGGCCCAAGAGTCAGAGACACTGAAGAAGGACCAGGAGAAGGTGGGGCAGTTTCAGACCTATGTGATGTCTCATGCCAACACCCAAGAGGCAACTGATGGACAACAATGTGGCTACTACTTCCCTCCCACCTAAGTAATCTCTCTGTGGCCTGCCCCAGCCGGAGACATCGGGGGATGGAATTCTGGGTGGTGTAGGGCAACCGGCCATTTGCAAAATCTCCACATGGAGGAAGAAGAAGAATTTGAGGGGCAGTCTTAAAGTCAGAAGTGTATTCAGTATGGGCAGTTCATCATCCATTTCATTGGCCACATTTCAGAGTAGAAGGGGCCACAGACGTCAGTGAGTCTTCTCCCTCATCACAAATGAGAAAGTCTCATCAAAATTTAAGAGATTTTGTGGACTGAATGTTCATGTCCCCCAAATTAATAGTCTTAACCGTCAATGGGATGGTATTCGGAAGTCGGATGAGGAGGACCTTTGGGAGGTGACTGGGTCATGAGAGCAGAGCCCTTAGTGCCCCACAGAAGAGACCTCAGAGAGCTCCCTCATGTCTTCTGCCCTGTGAGAACATAGCAAGAAGAAGGCCATCTATAACCCAGGGAGCAGGGCCTCACCAGACACCAAATCTCCCGGCACCTTGATCATGGACTTCCCAGCCTCCAAAACTGTGAGAAACACGTGCCTTTGTTTTACAAGCACCCTTAGTCTGTGGTATTGTGTTATGCAGCCCAAACAGACAAAGGCAAGAGGCTGAGTAATTTTCCCAAAGACCCTGAATGAGGCAAGCTGGTGAGAGGTCAAAAGACCCTCCTTCATTGTGCTCCCAGGGCAGTGGGTAACCCAGACATGGTTTGGTCGCAAAGTTTGATCACCGAAGGGAAGGTGCTCTCACGCATTGACTCTCAAATCAAAGTGTGAACTCAGGTAATTCTTTAATTATTTACTTATCACTAGCATAAATTTCAAATTCAAAATGACTTGCAGTATTCTCCATTTATCTCATAATATTTCTTAGAGTCTGTCTTCTTATTGTAAGCTGATTATTCTTTCTTCTCTGTAATATATGCAGTTTCTTAGATCCAAGAGATAAATCTTTTCATATCTAAAGTATGACCTCTTCCGAGTACCTTATAGTTGCCGGGTACCTATTTGTAGGAATTAAGCACTATTCATATCATTTCTAAATGTCCTTGGCACATCCCTGTCTGATTTTCATTCTTCTGGGAACCAAGTCCATCCGAAAAGTTTTTCTCCGAGTATATTTTGTTCTTTCCCCCGTACAGATCTGGCAGTTTTTACTTTCTCCAGGTTCCAGACATCGGGAAAGAAAAAGGGAAAAGTAATCTTTGACCCTCCGTCTTCACATATTCTTCCCTTTCCATTGCAAATTACCTCTCTCTCTCTCTACAGAAAGGGTGGATGGTTCCAGGCAGCAGCAGGTCCAGGAAAAAAAAACATGTTATTCACCTGACATTGCTGGCTGAGCAAGAGGGGTCAGAGATAGGAGGGCATAAAAACAATAAAACTTGTGAGAAGACGATTCATTTCTCTTGTTAACCACTGTCCCTTCCCAGAGATATAGGTAGAAGAGCAGAAAATACAAAGCAATAGTGTTTCGTGGCAACATGTTCTACGTCATGACTTCCAAAGTACGTGTGAGGGCTGCAGAGAACATCTCGTCCCTCCAGTAAAGAGACTCAGCCCAGAGAAGGGACACTGGAGGGAGGGAAGACAGAGGTGGGGCTCACTATATCCCAGGTTCAGCTCCTAGGGGTCCCACCCGTGTGCTAGGCCTGCAGGACCATTGGAAGCCTCATGCTTCTTGAGCTCTTCTCTGCTTCTTGGATGAGCCAAGGGGGAGAGGAACCAGGGGCCGGAGGGCTTGGCTGTCTGTCCACTTGATAGCATGTCAGTTACCAGAACATTTCTGAACAAAAGTATACAGTCAGCAGAACTTGTGTTCTTGGGAACTACACTCCTATGGAGAAACTGCTCTGGAGGAAAGCATATGGGATGGCCAACTATATGGCAGAAGCTGTGGAATAAATGCCTTGCTTCTCCAGCTGTCTGTGGATCATCTGGATTTCAAAGCATCACTTTAGCTGTCGTGAGTCACAGAGGACACAGTGGTGTTTCTTCTCCCCAGCTGGGTCTTCATGACTCGACCCCACAGCCCCTGTCCACTGTCTGTCATTCTCCTGTTCTCTTCTGTGCTTCCGGAACCTCTTACACTTAGCCTGAACTAACAAAGGCCAGATGCTGAAGTGACCGAAATGATAGAAGATGAGCCTTTTGGGATATGTTGACAAGAACCACCTGAAGGGGTGGAAAGTATAGGGCAAATGATTACAGTTGAGGCCTGTCCTTTACCTGAATAGACGAGGTCTTGCAGAATTTACCTTCTACACCCCTTTTAGTCTTTATGTTTTTCCTTAGGCTGGATTGTCCTCCTGAAAGCAGAGCCCATGGCCAAGGCTTCCTTGCAGAAGTTTTACCTAGGCAGATACTCCCAGGACAGAAGCAGCTGCTGGGAGAGTGACCCATGGAAGGAGGGAGAGTCAGTCCTACCCTGCACCCTGATCCTAATGCACTGTGAGGCTGGTCACCACGATCAGCATCTTGGCTTCCACTGTGGACAGTGTGGGTCAACAGCCTGCCCATCCATATGTGTACATGTGCCAGATCGCTGGGTGGGTCCCAATGTACATCGCAGGAGCTGGCAGCAGACGAGACTCAGGGTGGAAAGAGAGGGCGCCATTTTGAGCCGTTCTGTGAAGTGGTGGCTGTGGGACTGGCTGCTGTACTGATGGCCGGAGCAAGGTGACCAAGTTTGTGGGGTGGCATCGCAACACGCAGCCCTTGGCCCTGGTAAAATTTTCCTTTACCAGGTTCTTGAGCTGCTACTGATGCTGAGCAATTTGTTGTTCATACTCCCCATCACACTGGTCCCTGGTGTCATCTTTTGGGCCTTTGAAATGTCAGTGAGGGCAACTTTAAGGCTTGAATAGTCCTCTGCAAGCTTTCATTGAATCTTGTACCCTTGCACTTGACATTGGTAGGGAGAGAGAGAGTGGTTAAGTAAGAGTTGACCACTCACAAAACAGGATTATGGCAGCATTTTTTAAAAAGTTAATGTAGACTAGCATCTTTTTGGCTTAATCTTTCATTTTAGAATCTCATTAGAACATCAAATAATGATCAAGTTAGCTTTGTTTGGTTAAAGAAAAAAAATGGTGGACTATCTCTGGAGATTTTCAGGGGTTACAGAAAAATATGAGCTAAAAAGTCCTGGGTTCTGGAATTAGTTGTTGCCATCTTGGTGTTGGGTTATTAGTAGGTGTTATTTTTTTTTTATTGAAATGACTAGGAAGAGTAGAGATGACTGTATTTATGATCTTATGCATATAAAAACAAAGCTATAACACCTAGTGAAATGTCTGTTTTCTCTATGAAGTTTAATGTTAGTTGTTTTCCTTTCTTTTCCTGGTAGTTTGGGAGTAATAAATTTTGCTTACTATGTCACAAAGAGGTAGACTTTCAAAACAAAAGCACATTAATTTTTTGTTCATCATGAAGAATCATCCAGAAAGTACTAAGGTGTAGAGGCTGTGCATGCACAATTTCCTATCCTTTTCTCTTCCTCTTCTCTTATTTAAAAAAAAAAAAAAAATTCCCATCTTTATTGAGGGAAAATTGACAAACTTAACTGTATGTGTTTAAAGTGTATTACCATGCTGATTCACTGTACATATACACTGCGGAGTT